GATCTTATTCCCAGACATCTTATTCTTCTACATCTAAAACCCTCAATCTCTTTCAGACAGATCTTATAGCACCAGATCATAATACCGCAGTTCTTATTCCCCACATCTTATTCACCTATATTTAATACCCCGAGATCTTATTGCCCCAGATCTTATTCACCTACATCTATAAACCCGGATCTTTTTGACACAGATCTTGTAGCACCAGATCATTTCCCTGCAGTTCATATTCCCTCAAATCTTATTCTCCCAGATCTTATTCCTCTCACATTTTATTCCCCCAGATTATATTTTCTCCAGATCTTATTACCGCACTTCTTATTCCACAGATCTTATTCTCCAAGATTTTATTCATCCAGATCTTATTCAATCAGTTCATATTTTCCCCAAATCTTATTCTCCCAGAGCTTATTCCTCTCAGATTTTATTCCCCACAGATCATATTTCCTCCAGATCTTATTATCGTAGTTCTTATTCCTCAGATATCATTCCCTTATATTTTATACCCCGAGATCTTATCGTTCCAGATCTTATTCACCTACATCTATAACCCCTGATCTCTTTCATCCAGATCTTATACCACCAGATCTTATTCCCGCCATTCTCCATTAACCACCATAGAGATCCTTCCCTGCCCCCCATTAAAATGTCTGATAGTCAACTTCCTGAGAGCAACTCCCTGCATCTGCTCGGTCTCACGCTGACTGCTGACCTGAGTTGGAACAAATACATTGAGTCAATTGCTTCTTCCACCGCGAGGAAAGTTGGCTCTCTGTGCCGCGCCAGGAAATTTTTCTCCCCTGAATCGATACTTCAAATATACAAAACAACCATTCGCCCTTGTATGGAGTATTGCTGCCATATATGGGCTGGAGCACCTTCTGCTTACCTCGGAGTTCTTGACAAGATCCAGAGAAGGATATGTAATCTAATTGGCCCTGATCTAGCGTCTTGCTTGCAGTCACTCTCTCACAGACGTGCCGTCGCCTCTCTCTGTCTTTTCTACAAATACTTCCATGGTAAATGCTCTGATGAGCTGCTCTCTCTGGTTCCCAGACTCCATGAATTCAAGCGCCCTACGAGGCTGGCATCCCGCTCTCACCCTTACACCATAGAAACCTTCAAATGTAGCCGTCTTTTCTACTCCAATAGCTTCATACCTCGCACCTCTCGCCAGTGGAACACCCTCCCCAATCACTGTTTCCCTGAAAGCTATAATCTCCAACTATTTAAATGTAATGTCAATCGACATCTCCAATTACCTTGATCTACCCACTATCCTTCTCCTCTTCCTTTCTCTTATCACTCTTATCTGCTCTCGCTCCAAATCTTCCGCAACCCCCTGCATCCTAGTGGCTTCACGCCTTGCTTGGGGCACAATGCTTAAAACAAAAAAAATCTTATTCCACAGATCATATTCCCCAAGATTTTATTCATCCAGATCTTATTCAATCAGTTCATATTCCCCCAAATATTATTCTCCCAGATCTTATTCTTCTCAGATTTTATTCCCCCAGTTCATATTTCCTCCAGATCTTATTATCGCAGTTCTTATTCCTCAGATATTATTTCCCTATATTTTATACCCAGAGATCTTATTGCCCCAGATCTTATTCACCTGCATCAATAACCCCCGATCTTTTTCACAGATCTTATAGCACCAGATCTTCTTCCAGCAGTTCTTATTCGTCAGATCTTATTCCCTTTTATTTTATACCCCGAGATCTTATTGCCCCTGATCTTATTCACCTACATCTATAAGCCCTAATCTCTTTCATCCTGATCTTATACCTCCAGATCTTATTCCCGCAGTTATTATTCCACAGATCTTATTCTCCAAGATTTTATTCATCCAGATCTTATTCAATCAGTTCATATTGCCCCAAATCTTATTCTCCCAGATCTTATTCTTCTCAGATTTTATTTCCTCAGATCATATTTCCTCCAGATCTTATTATCGCATTTCTTATTCCTCAGATATTATTCCCTTATATTTTATACCCAGAGATCTTATTGCTCTAGATCCCATTCACCTACATCTATAACCACTGATCTCTTTCATCGAGATCTTATACCACCAGATCTTATTCCTGCAGTTCATATTCCACATATCTTATCCTCCAAGATTTTATTCATCCAGATCTTATTCAATCAGTTCATATGTCCCCAAATCTTATTCTCCCAGATCTTATTCTTCTCAGATTTTATTCCCCCAGATCATATTTCCTCCAGATCTTATTACCGTGCTTCTTATTCTCCCATTCTCATAGTGATCATTCTCTTATTCAATAAATTTCATGTTGAACATTTATATTTTATTTTTATTCAATAAAGGAAATGAATTTTCCTCATTCAACAATAAAAGGAATCGATTGAGTGTTTTCAAAACCTGAGTGAATGTCTCATCAAACATATATTGGAGCAAAACCTATTTGTTCCATATCATGTCGAAATGATGAATGAATGAATATATAGCGTCGACATGAACTAACAATCTGAACTCTAATACCTAGTGTTATTATTACCTTTGTTTGTGGTGAAATGAGTAAAAAGAAGATAAAAGTTAACTAGTTGCCTATTTATTTTCATTTACACAATGGCATATTATCAGGTTGAGTCATACGTAATGTTTTTGAACGAATTGTAATAACCAGCCTAAACAACAATTCCTTGAAGTTCCTCCTGCATATTTTCGACCAAATAATGCCCCACAAACAGCTAGGCATGTTGCAATCGATCTCAGCTCATCAAGACAATAGACTAATCAAAGTTAATAATATAACACCGGAGATTGAAAATATTCTGAAAAGATGAAAATCAAGCATTGAAAATCAGTTGCACTATCTTGTTTATATTATTCGCTTTAATGTGTGACTTCCACATTAAATAAATATTCACGTTTTTGAATCAAGTATTGATGGGTGATTAGAATTGATATTATATAACAACAATGCGGAATGATTAAAAAGAAGATAAAAGTCAACTAGTTTCCTATTTATCTTAATTTACACAATGATATATTATCAGGTTGAGTCATACGTAATGTTTTAGAACTAATTGTAATAACCTGCTTAACCAATACTTCCTTGAATATATCATAACAGGAGATGGAAAGGATTTATATAGGATAATATTGAACGCACCACGCCAATAGACTGATAAGAATAAAATCCGAAAACTTTCCCCGAAAGTTGAGTCTCATGGAAGAAAGGCAATGTTGTTCGTTTGGGCGGATCATCATGGTTCTTTTCCATCAGAATTATTAAAACGCAATGATGCAGTCAATGCACATTTATAAAACCCAGCAGCTGTAATGAGTCCATAGATGTTTGTTTAGTAAAACTTCCTGTTTTAGTTGATAGGGTAATATCTTCTTCTCTATAGAAACAGAACTCTGCATACAGAAACAATAAGGGAGGAAAAAATTATGGTATTAGTCTGCTTAAACTGACATTGCACCAACGGATTATTAACTTTCATGTGAGGGGAGCGGTTCTAATGAAAGCCTGGTTTAAAGACCGTGAAAAGCTTCTTTTCAAAGTCAAACGGTGTCGAAGAGCTGTATGATAAGTGGCAATACATCAAGGCAAATGAGGATGAAAATATAAATGAATACAATTCAGTTGTGCTTTCAATTGTAAAGATGATAAACAAAAACGAACATTATTTAATTTTCATCTAAATTATTTTCTAAAATCGCTGAAAATTATCATTTTTCGTAGATATTTTCTCGTCTGAATGAAAGAATTTTACCAGTTGTCAATGCACTGAATATTGCTGCCATATCTCGTGATTCTCGATGAATTCACAAAGGAGGGCGTATAACGTTATCTATCCTGACATGACATCTCGATTTCAGATATTTTTCCGCCAACGTGACGTGGCTTCCCTCTGCCTTTTCTATAAATATTTTCATAAAAATAAGTTCTCGGGTGTTCTTTTCATTGGTATCTCGACTGCATGAAGTTAAGCGTCCTATTAGATTAGCAACTAGGTCATATCTTTTTACTGTTTAATTAGCTAAATGCAATCGTAAGTTCTGTTCTGATAGTTTCTTTCTTCGCATTTCTAGACTATGGAAATCTCTTCCAATTTCTGGCTTCCATGCCTCCTCCAATTTTCAAAATGCAACATTAATCGCAGACTTCGCTCTTTCTGACACTCGTTCTTTTTTGTCCTTTCTTCTCACTAAGGTCTTATCATTCTCTTTTCGTATCCATTTGACCGTATTCGGGATCATTAATCAGGGCGACTGATCCTTTCCTTAGCTGCATAGTGTGTGCTTTGCCAAGGTTACCTACAGTTTTGAATTCAGAGTTTTTCTTTCTTCTTGACTTGTGGCCACCCAGGACTGCTCTACTATTTACCCATAGCTAAGCGGGACAAAATTTGATTTCATGCCTTTCCCAAGGTTATTACCACGTAAGTGAACGTAATAAACTCGACTGGAATTCGACATCGGCTCACCGATTCCTCAGTTCGATCCGCAATCGTGTCTCCTAATAAACTCTAGATTTTCGTGGCATTATCGCCTTGCTAGGTGTGAAATGATTAAAAAAAAAACTAAACAAAAAAAAACAAAATGCCTGGAAAAAATGCACGACGGACAAGTTAAAATTTTAGTAAAAACTGCTTTGCTAAAATTACAACAGAGAAAAAAAAAAAAAAAAAAAAACAAAACAGAATGTTTTCAAATGTTAAATGCTTTCTCTGGTGGTGGCGCCACTTAAAGAGGATGTTTATCTCCTTTGCTGAAGAGTTCCGATCATCCGGAATCAAGTCAGCTGCTTGATTAAATTTGAGGCGTCTTTAGAAAGTTGTTGTGATCGTCAATCGGTGAAAACGAGGCTTTCTAGAAAGAACAAGAAAACATCTGCTGATTGAAGAAAGATCAATAACAACATTATTGTTTTTATTTTCTATTCCCTTTTTCTTGTTCACATGAGTTTGCTATTTTCATTCGTCTTCCCAATCATCTTCAGTTCCATTGCAACTCCGGTTTACGACCATATCACGTTCAAACACCTGATTTCTTACAATCAGCGAAGTTAAGCAACGTCGAGCCTAGTCAGTACCTCGAGGGATAATCGCTTGGGAATACCAGGTGATGGATGCTTGAAAGTGCGGTTGGTGTAATGGATAACGCCATGGAACGGGAAATCCGAGTTCAGATTCTAGTCTGGTTCATTGTATTCACTTACGTACAAATACACACCATAAAGTTATGGATACGCATCTTCTCCCCGCTATGGATTAATTAATAAGGTTTCATTTGGTTTATTATATTTTACAACATATCAACATCAATGGGTTATTTAATGAAAACAAGTTTTTTTTTTTTTACGATAGGTTCGGGTGAATATAATATACATTCATTGTTAAAAAATTGGTTTGTAGATCAGGTTTCATTTTTGTAAAAAGTGTTTTAATCAAAAGTCCAATATATTACTGGTAATATTCTTTTCAAAAATGTATTTCTGGTATTTTTACTATAAAAATCTATTTTTTTATACTTTGATAAAAGTTTCTGGTTTTTCTGAAAAATGTATTTTATTCGGATCTGTTGTCCTTTTATTTTTACGCCCGGCCTTCTTCAGGGCTGGAATGACGAACTGAATCATTTATTTCGCTCAATGGGGTAGATTATCAGTTATCTCCTGTTAATTCCCTCTGTTTAAGTTCTCCACTGCCTTAACCGGGTATTGAACTCACTCTCTTTGGGTCCTGTTCTCAAGGACGCATATTGGTTAGATCCAGTGAGCGGAATAAAGGGTTCAGTTCGACATTCTAACCATCTGACGAAGGCCGGAGCGTACAACGACCGAAACGTTGTAAGAAATATGGCGACAAAGATGAGGATAATATTCAGAATAATGTAAATAGTGTTTGATAAAATTTTGAGCCGAATTTTGGGGTTAACTAATTTCCCATAGTTGGGACCATAACAGGTGCTACGACCCCTGGTCTGGGTGGATTTGGAAACAACAGCAATTATAAATGTGTTCTACGCTCCTATTTCTGGGGCGTAATTAGTAAGACTTGTTTCATTAAAGGATTATTATGCCCCCACCCCCGCAAAAAAAAAATTCAATCTAAAAATATGTTTTCTGGCTTTAAATAACCTACAAAATGTTGATAAGCTGAGTTCCAATTCCAATCGGTTTCATATATTCATTTACGCGCAAATACCATTGGGAAACATATGTATCTACCTCTTCACCCCATCTATAGGTTTATGATTAGAATTTGTAACTAAATAGTTATTAACTCTTAATTTATTCGTAAAATCTAAAAATACATTCTGCCTTTAAATAGCCTGTTTCATAAGGCATAGATTACAAATCACTCTATTGCGACTTCTTCCTCGTATTATAAACAGGGTGTGCCAAAATATTTGACATCATCTCAAAGGCCAATCATTTTGGCAATTCTCGTTTAAATAACCTCAAATTTCCACAGAATGTATAGACAGAGATCAAGATTTTATAGTTAACGACAAAGGACAATACGTGCTTATTTCGATGAGAATCTGCCAGAGAGATGGATCGATGTAGTGGAGATGAAGATAGATTTCTGATGAAATGCCGCCGCGGTCACCGGACCTGTACCTGTGTGATTTCTTTTTATCGGGATATGTAAAGGGACTGGTCTATGTTTCCTCTCTTCCTACTAGCATTGATGAACTCAAGCAGCGAATCATTCCACTTTGAATAATGCTACCGGAAACATGCTACAGCGTGTTTGGCAAGAGCTTATCCACCGACTAGACTTGTGACGTGTCACAGGCGGTGAACATAATAAACACTTATGAAATCGGAAGCATACTAAACTCATGATTTTCAATACCTAAACTGTGCAATTTCATTGACCTAGCCTTAGTATTTTTCAAGATAATTGCTTTTAAATTGACGTGTAAATTTTTTGGGACACACTTTACGTTCTCAGTCTTCCTCCAGCGGGTCGGGTGACTCACTATGGAGATTAAGTGGCAGAAAGGTTATATAATACTTCAGCGCATATATTCTATTCTTTAGATTTTAATAATACTCTTCCTCTGCTGGTTAGGGTCAATAAACCGCCAACTGTATCCTAGTGCACTGAGATAGCATCCACACAAAAGCAGTTCCCTGTTTACTGTAGCTATTTTAACTTTTTGACTGTAGGGTAGACGAAAATATACCTATCTTTTGGCTTCTCATGCAAACATGTCTACCTTTTGACTGTTATGTGTGAGAAATTCTCCAATTTAAGCGCCTATTGGCAGATTTGTAACGACCAATTTCATTGGTCGAATTTGGACTTTGCTTTCCGCGGGCATTTTTAACGGCCCGTGCACCTTTTTTATCAGTTGCGGCAAAATATTGGAAATGTCCGGACTCATTTTTGAATCTCTTTGCAGGGCCTTTAGCGCCCAAAATCAAGCCTAAATAATTAGGCAATGATTCTTCTTCAGCAACCAAAATGGTAATGCTCTTGAGGCGACGTAATGTTCCAGCTTCTTAATACTTTCAAGGCTGTATAATTCAGTCATTTATTGACTGTCGTCAAATGTGTACGTTTACACGAAGAACTTTCTGCATGATCTCGACATTAGCCGAGTTTCAACTTCAGCAACCGAAATGGTAATGCTCCAGCAATGACCAGCAAATTCCAGCTTCTCAAACTTCGTAGAGACCAATTGAGTCCTCCAGAAGTAAAAGACACTACCTATTCATTAAAGAACTACCCTACCCTGTTCCCAGGGGTAAAAAAGGGCAAAATCTTTTTTTTGCAAGGATACAATAAAATTTGTTTTAATTTTTAAGGTAGGCCTTGTTGATTGTATGTCTTTTCTTGTCTCTGCCAAGGATTAAACCATGTGAGAAGAAATTCTCACATATGATAACCAATGCTATTCCAATCTATTGATTCTCATGCAAACCAAGCATTTGTCTATCGTTTGTCTCTGACACAAACCAAACATTTGACTGCCTTTTGCCCTCTCATACCAACCATAACTATATGTACTTCTTCTTTATGTGCCGTGTCTCCTCAGGACGTAGGCGATCATGACTCTTCATATTTTTCTGTTTTTTCTCTCTAAACCATATTCTGACATCCATTTATTCAAGCTAAGTATGTTATGCGTTATTTTATTTTGCTTCTTAATACCTCTACAAAAAAAAAAAATCAATGCTGATGTTTTGTTTCTGATGCACGCCATAACCCTCGCATTGTTCGTGCGAAACAATCCTAATCCTACGCTTCTGAGTACCGAAGAAACAAAAAACTATATCTAATTGAATTCACAGTCTCATGATGAAAAATAATAATAAAAAAAACAACAACACTTTATACGATAAATACTCATTTTGAAAGATAATCTCAACTGTCTGTATTTTGGGGATAAGAAGTTGCTATCATTTCCATTATTAACGTTTGGACTGATGTCCTCATCTTCCCTTGTATTATCTCAGTGTTTCGACGGTTGTTCTCTCTAGTCTGCTTCAGGAAACGGTAGACCCAGGGAAACTTCAGGAAATTTCCAACTGACCGCTTCCTTTAATGTACAGGTCAAGATTATTCTCTTGGGTGAATAAGATTATTAATCAGATATCCTCAGCTTATTCTATCAGAAGACATAATGTTATCTCTTTTATTTAGTACTGGCCTCGCAAATTCTAAATCTATTACGCTAGTCACGATTGACCTGTATAATGTATGTGAACGAAAGTAAACTCTAAAAATTAAGAAAAACGTGTAATGACATATCTATCTATCTATCTATCTATCTATCTATCTATCTATCTATCTATCTATCATAATCGACTCTCCCGTCGAGATTCGACGTATGAGGGTCAAACAGATCAGTTTCCAGGAAACCGACAGCCCGACACCGGCACATGAGATTTGATTATAGTGGTGAAGGCTTCGTGCAGGACCACTGACTTACAATCTGTACGACGCAGCCCAGAGATCGAACTAAATTCATGAATCAACACTTTGACCCAGGATTGATTGAGAGGATATAATAGACGAAAATCGAATTACAATTCAGTATATTTATTTTAATTGTTTCTATTACGCTAGTCACGTACGTTGGGATGCAATGGACATCAGCTCTGAGTGAGAAATTGAAGAGCCGAGTTCGAATTCCAGTCGGATTTGTTATGTTCACTTACGCACAAATATCTCTGCGAAAGGTATGTGTTTCTCACATTTCTCAGAGTTATGGGCTTAGTAGCAAGAAAGACTGGGTTCTGTCGCCTCTGTAGGTAACCACTCTACAGTGCAAGGAAAGAGCAACTTAGCGAGGGAAAATCTTTTGTCAAGTCAGTCATGAATCTAAAGAGACTTGTTCGCGTATCGTAAGTATAACACTTAACTAATAGAGTCACTTTTATCACGATCACAAATGTTGTAACTGCTCGTGGCACAACATCTACAGCAGCTTTAACAGCAATGTCGTTTCATGGGCAGAATGGGCTGATGGATTTTAATCAGGCTGGTTATAATTCAGAATTGTCATTCTCGTAGGCTGGTTGTCATATTAGGCTACAGGGCTCAATGTGTTGTTTTATTTAACCAGAGCGAGATTCATACCTTTTCCCAAGTATGTGTATATATAATGATCTCTACTGGAATTCGAACTTGGCCATCCACTTCCCAAATACGAACCGCTCTCCATTCATCCAACGTTCCTCAGTTATATTTTTATACTTCAGCGGTTTCCCTTCTCTTAAACCGGTTTATCAAATAAGGTTACAGGGGTCAATCTGTCCTGCTATTTACCATTCGTTGGAGCTGATGGATTCATATCTTTTCCGAGTATATATAAAGAATTCGGACACCTCGAGGTAGTGTAATGGTCAGCAAGCTTGTCTCGCTAGAACAATTACGACTGAGTAGTGAGCTCGATCCTCACTGGGTACCCCCTACTTTCGGCCTTGTGCCATATCTAAGCTACGCTTGGAAAATCACTATATAAAGAATTCTATTGAAATTCGAACTCGGCCATCCGCTTCCTAAATACGAACCTCTCTCTCGTTTTTCCATTATATTTGTATACATTTCATTGGTTTTTCTTCTCTTAAACCGGTTTGTCAGACAAGGTTACAGGGCTTAATCTGTGCT